AATAGATTTCTTTCTGTGTGAGATTTTTTAATGAGCAATTACCTCCATATTTTCACAGTATTAAAAGAGCAGCAATATGTGCATACATAACCAGAGGAGCTGTCATCCTTCAAAAATGGAAAGCGGGTGATCAAACAACCCAGAACATCTCCATACATTTTATGATTTGGGTACCTAAAAAATATAAAATATAATTATTTCAGTACCCAACAACCAACAAGTTTGACATTTAACTATTATAAAATACAATGAAATACAATACTGTACCAGGTGTGCTTGGTGATGCTGTCAAACAACAATTTTGCAATTCAGGGGGAAAGACAGGCAGGTTGTATACTGCTGGCCAAGGATGGGCAACAAATGAGTCACAGGGTTCTTGTCTGTAAACATGAATACAATGTTGAAGTCTTTTATACAGGATATTCATTTTACTTGCCACAGTACAGTCAGTTTGGACTTCAAAACCATGATACATACTGAGTACAAGATATCTGAGGCTCCACAGTTTCCAGGCTGTTTGAACACAAATAAAATATAAATTAAGATAAGGATTTTAAGCTTAGTTGGCATAAATTTGTTTTATATTTAACAACAATGTTCAATATTTAACAACACTTTTTAAAATTAAGCTCTTTTATAAATGTCACAAGATTTTTCATAACCACTTTTTAAAATTAAGCTCCTTTATAAATGTCACCAGATGTTTCATTACAGGAAAAGTCTTTCCACCATCCTTTCTGTGAGACCCAGCAGAGTCCCCATCAATTTGCTGCTCTGTAAGAAATAATAATAATAAAAAGTTCATATTCCAAAGAAGAAATAATTGATAAATAAGAGAGAGACATACCACAGAAGTATAATATATTTACCTAGAAGACTGCATTCTGTGATATAAAATATCTCTCAGTGTTACAGGTAACGCTTAAATCTGCTTGGTGTTAATGTTAATGTTGCACTTGCAGGTGAGATTAGATACTTCGTGAGTTGAAACTTCACAACATCACAAAATGAACATTTATACATTTTCATGTGTAACGTTAACGTTACCTCTGAAACTTTATTTTGCATCAATGAGGTTTATATTTTGAAGCCAGTGGCAAAAGTAACAGTTTGATCAGGGTTGGAGCTAAAAACTGCACGAAAGTGGACCTAGCGGGCCAAAGTTAAGAACTTCTACACCTGTTAACTGGGGAAAATACTCACCGCAAACTGAATATGTGTGAAACTGCGACAAACATTTACATTATCATACCCTTTCGCCTTCCAGCAGGTTCGCTATCGTTAAAATTACCGTTAACAAACAGCGAGCGCGTGCTTAATTGAAATTAAAATTCACACTTATGTCGCGAAGCTCGTCTTCTTATAACACAGCTGTCTTATTGTTATTGACAATTTTATTAACACTGACAAGAAAAATAAAGGGAGACTGTAACTTAATTAATTTAAAAACCGGAGCAAAATCAATTTAACAGGGCTTTCTGAACTGACGGCTGACGAAGCCCTTCAGTGCTACTTTTAACTATTTTGCTTTTAGTATCCCTATTTAGCACAAGGGCTACTCTAACAAATAGAAGTATTAACTGATGATACTAAATATTTCAGAAATATGATTAACAAATAGATTAACTGATGATACTAAATATTTCCGAAATATGATTTCAAAAATGTAAAAACTTACCTGAGGGTATGAACGGTGGACTCCTCAGTTTGAAAAATTAACCGTCACTGTCGCGAGGTTCGTCTCCGCCAATCCACCAATAGGAATTCAAGGATGATGCAACACAT